AGATGATGCTTCTAGGATGCAATTCATCTAATAAAATACATCCTGTTATTGATACTGTGAAATGTCTGCATAATGCTTCCACTGATTCTAGAACAATACAGACATCTATCTCAGATCTACATTCTATTTTAGTGACACCTACAGCTAGGCAAAATCAATCCTAACCCCAGAGTCCTCACACAACAGCCACACCTAGTGGGCAAAAGTTTAATTCAAAACTTGGTATTCCTTCCCAACACCCAATTCCTGTGTTTGCTGATGTTCTGTAGGATCCCCAATTCTAGCTTTGGCAGCTATCTAGCTGACATCAGATGTAAGCATCTGATCTGAGAGCGTCACCAGATGGATAGAGACTTACCATATTATATATAGTAGGTACATTAAAAGAAGGAACTCCTAGAATACTATCTAGGCCAATGAAGTGCAAGTCAAATCAGTGTCTTCAGTAAAATTAGAGGAAATATCTGCACTATCAGAAGATTCCTAATGTAGCTCAGATGAAGGCCCTTATGTAGCTAAGTATATGCCTCTGTATTGAAATATTTCAATTTTAAAATACATTCTGTGAGAAATTAGAAGTCAGTGGGTATTCTAAAGCGCCAGATTGCTGCCATTTTTCCCCCATATAAGATGAAGAAAATCTAATTCATCATGCACATCCATTGGAGACCGCACAGGACTTGTTAGATATTATCTATTCACATTCCTGAGAAGCCATTAAACTAAGTTCAACATTGGCAATTGGCAATTGATGACTTGTAACAGACCTACAAAATATCATCAGTCCCATGAACAGGGCACTGAAACCTGTCTTCTGAATTCCTATTTTGATTTCACATTCCAAAGAGTTTAGGGCAAAGATGATTGAAGCTGTTGAATATAATGTTGAATATAACGAGCCTCTCACTCAAAGATGTGTTTAAACTCTACTGCCAAGTTGCCATTTTCATAGTAGTGGCGTGAGCAGCAAAGTCTAATTATAGTATGTGTGATTATTACAGTAACTAGTGATGTATTAAGAACCTGTGCAGTAGAAATTACAGTCACTGTAACAAACTACAAAACACACGCAAAGTGAAATTTTATTTACTTTCTCTCTCCCTGACACTTTCTTTCTTCATATATTCATACTTCTCCCAGCCCATGGGCATCTTCTCCATCCTGGAAGAGGAGTGCATGTTCCCCAAGGCAACTGACACCTCTTTCAAGAACAAGCTCTATGACCAGCATCTGGGCAAGTCCAACAACTTCCAGAAGCCCAAGCCTGCCAAAGGCAAGGCTGAGGCCCACTTTTCACTTGTGCACTATGCTGGCACAGTGGACTACAACATATCTGGCTGGCTTGAGAAGAACAAGGATCCCCTGAATGAAACTGTTGTTGGGCTGTACCAGAAATCATCTTTGAAGCTCCTGTCCTTCCTTTACTCTAACTATGCTGGTGCAGAAACAAGTAAGTGCGTTTTTTAGTGATGATTGATAAGGCAAGAAAAAAAAGTTAAGTCTATGTCTCCTCCTTGTTGTATTCTCTAGCCTCTCATCATCCCTAATCTCATCCTATTCACATGCACAGATATGCCAAACTAAGATACCATCATGAATAACTGCAGAAAGCACCATGTTTATGTGGTGTGGTGCACAGAAGCAATGCTCAGCAAGTTCAAAACAAAATGATAGGAGTTGGATGTTTCCTGGCTTACTGAGCTGTGAATCATATGCATGGTCAGCCATCATCCAGACAGGTGCCAAATATACATGTATGTGCAAAGTGTAAGCACTTTATAGTCTTAGGAGACAGAGTTTTATTTCTTTATGTGAACAGGAAGAGCTAAAAGTAATGGAGAGGTTCACAGCCTTACATCTTCAAGGAGATCACAGAACTATTTCATATCCAGCTGAGCAGCCCTGGTGCAACAGGGGAAAAAAAAAAAGAGAGAGAGACAAATTAATTTAGAAGTTCTTTAAGGGCATCAGAGAGCAGTTCAACCTCTTGCCTTTTTTTTGTGACTTAAGGCTGTCAAGTAGGACAGTCAATGGGTCTGTTTTACCAAAAATAACCATACGATTGCTACAAAAAAAAAAAAAAAAGGAAACTCGGATGCTAGGCATAAAGTGTTAGTATAGAGTAACATGTCAACACGCATGTGGGCAGCTGGGTTTGAGGCTCAAGAGGGTACCACACACTCCTAGAAAACAGTGGGGATGAAGCAGTTGTGGTCCTTACTAGTATCATCAATACAAGGAAGGTGAGAAGAGAAGACTCCATTTAGTTCTCCATTTAAATGACTTCAACAATACAGCAATTCTGAAAAGCTACTGAGCTTTTTGGGTTTGTATTCATGAGGCTATATTTCATTTATTGCCTTGGGGATGCTGTAACTCAGAATAGGTCCCTATTCTTCAACTGGAACATTAGAACAAATTTTTCCTAAAGGCTTCACTGCACTCATGAACAAATGTCCACCGCTGAACCATTCATGTGGCCTTTCACCACATTACAACAAAATAAAAATAATTTGAGAGTATATCTTTAAGTAAAACCAATTTCCAGTGGTACACAGTAAACTGCTATGGAGCTTATGTCAGACCGTAGTGTTACATACTACCACAGCCACATCACATTATGACGCAACTTAAGTTGTGCATCTGAGACCAAAATATACCAAACACTGATTAATATATAACCAGCTGACAGCAGTTCACATAAAACTCCCATGCAGCGCTGCTGAATCACTTTCACATCAAAATATAATGTTTATATTAGTCCATAACACACTGCCTACTCTAACCATTCAACTCTTATGTATCTCAACTCTTCCAAGGTGATAGTAGTGGTGGCAAGAAAGGTGCTAAGAAGAAAGGGGGCTCTTTCCAGACAGTGTCTGCTGTGTTCAGGGTATGTGAATTTCCTCTTAAAACTGAGCCACAGCTCTTCGACATCTGAATAAAAATGCAAAAGCTTTGTAGCTCAGAGCTCAAACCCCATGTTTTGTTCTATTCACAGGAAAATCTAAACAAGCTGATGACTAACCTGAGAAGCACCCATCCTCACTTTGTGCGTTGCTTGATTCCTAATGAGACCAAGACACCTGGTAAGTGTTATTATACACTAGACTGACCAGAATTGTGCTGCTAAGCTTCCACACCAACTTCTTCCAGAACAGCTCCCCATGCATGTAAAATTCCTGTGGGGGGTGGCCTATGGAACAGTGCTCAAGTAAGCCTTCTTGTATTTTTTCATGACTGTAAAATTTTGAGCATTATATGGTCCACCACACTTAGTCATCTTTGCTTAATGTGTGCACAGAGCTGATGATAAAGATGGCATGTATTAGAGCTGATGAAATTGCATGTCACAAGTAACAACAGTAGCAAATTTCTAATAAATGCATATTTTTAAGGACCACTATGTCATTCAATACTGTTGAGTTCAGTTCAAGACAATTTAACAACTCAAAATATTTCATGTTAGAAACTGATTCACTGAGTTGGAGGACTGACAAAAGAATCATGCATCCTTTGTAGAATTCCCTGTATAGGCTGCTGGGTACTCTTTGCACCTGAAGGGCATTTTGATATAAAATTATTTTTGTTCATTTATTGAATTAAATATTTAACTCACGCAGAGTTTAGTCTCAAAGAACAGTCAAGTTTGGGGGGTATTTCATGTGGCCATTAAGTACCTGGGGAGAGTTGCTTGTGTGGGTTTTAGGAGTCTAATCTATAGGAGGTGTGATACAGGTGGAATAAGAAGGTGTAATGGATGTAATAAGAATACAAGGAAACAGGAGTTCAGCACCTATTTAATCTGCTCCAGAATTTCAAAGCATTTACCTTACTTGTTTATGTCTCTTTGTATAACCCTGAAGACCACAAGCATGGTTTCAGCAGCACACATATGTATGACACTCAGATTTCAGCTATTCACCTAAATTTATATATTCAATGGAGAGAAGCTGGCATTTTAAGGTATGACTCATTTGGCTGCTTTTATATGTCTTAGGATGAGATGAATCACATCCTAGAAAAAAATGCTTCTGCTTCACTCCACTGACTATAAATGAAGCCCATATGGAATGTCCCACACTTCATATCCGTAAAGTGAAGAGAGAGGAATCCCACTGGGATCTTGACAGGAATAGAAGATGTAAGGGAATTAAGGAAATCTACTGAAATATACATGAATGAATGATTTTGCCAAATATGACTGTCATTTTAATATTCAGAGATGACTCAGAGGAAATTAGACTTTTGCCTTCTAAGAAAAAGAAAAGTAGTAATGTGTGAACAAAATTAAGGATTGTAAAGTGAAGAGAAACTGGTCGTTTTCTGATTTTAGTTGTTTTTAGGCTGCTTATGCTTGATTTTTCTAACCATTTCTTTGGGTACACCTTTATTGATTACACTGAAAAGGTAAGGGTTAGCAATATGTACCATTCTGCATTAATTAATGCCTCTAGGAGCTGAGAAATTTCTTCATGACCAAGTGATTCCAAGACTATTTTATTCAATTGTACTTTGTTTGCAATACTTTGAATAAGATTAAGAAATATAGTTGATTGTTATACCTGATAGATGTTATAGAAGAAGGATAATTATTCCAATTTATTATTCCAGCTGTCCTTTACAGGCAGTTAAAGGAACTGATAAAAACTTTAAGCATCTTCCTTATCCTCTACTGTGTAGGAATCTATCTATCAAATCTAATCAAGGTTAAGTATAGTCAATACTTCTACAGAAAATCCAAGGTAAAATCTTACATAACATGAAGAGCTGATTATCCAGATTGTATTACATTCTACATGCCACTTCTACCTGCATCCAGTGAGTGATGATATTTTTCACTTCTATGAATTGAAAACATGTTCTGTCTTCATTTCCTCCATCCTTAACCAAGAACGGGTTGAATTTTAGCAAAAGGAGAAGTTGCACTGTCATGCTAGTAAATATGGAGACTCCTGGGGGGGGGGGGGGGGGGGGGAAAGAGGGGGAAGGAAATAAAAAATAGAAACAGTCATGATATATGTATCTTGTTTAAGGTGAAATGGACCATTACTTGGTGATGCATCAGCTGCGGTGCAATGGGGTTCTAGAAGGCATCCGAATTTGCAGGAAGGGGTTTCCAAGCAGAATCCTTTATTCAGACTTTAAGCAACGGTAGGTCTTCAGTTATTAGTTTGTTAATTTAAGGATTCAGTAAACCCAAAACTCAGGTGACAAATCTGGTGATATCATGGAGACACATCCTCTGAAACAGACTACTTCAGTGGAATTTGAGGGAATGTCATCATAAATACTCTCTTAGGTCTCTCCAGTCTTCTCCCTCTTTGATCAGAGATTTGTTGATTCATCAGAACCCATATTGTTTCTGAACTGTAGTCATTGCCTGGTGATTCAAAAAGATGCAAAATGTTTTTAGGGCAATGAATTAAATGGCATAATAGATTGCTCTTTGTAAGTCTCCTATAGGCTTACAAAACACTACAAGAATAATAAATGTCAGCACAGTCTCCTTAGAGTGTGGTACCTAAGCATTCCAAACTCCAAGGCTTTGTTGGTGCTCAGTCAGTTGCCTGCATCCTGTGTCTTGCTTTCTCTTCTTTAAAATTGAGATAATGAAACTGGCTCAAGTGAGTTCAATTGCTATAAAGTGCTGAATCTGAATTGGTTGTTATTATTAATAAATGTATCAGTAGCATCTTACATGCTGACCTGGTGTAAAAAGCTCTTCCCCTCAAGAGGACATAGCTTGTCTGTTTCTCCCCACTGTTCCCCTTCTTTCCCCTTCCCTTCCTTCCCCTTTCCCAAGAAATCAATATTATTTTTTAATCTTTTTGCAACAAGAGTATTCAGACTTTGAGGAAAAGCAGTCTAGGATTCAGGACCTCTCTGAATATGTGCTGCAACCCGCTGTTTAATTCACTATGGCATTAGCTGGTCTCAACTGTCAAATCATAATTTGAAGTGACAAGGTGAAGGGATCTCTCCATAATGGCCATGGTCCAGAACCAAAAAGTGCTATACAGTACAAAAGAAACATGCTGAAGTTTAGGAAGAACTACAACAGAAGACTAAAATACAGAATAAAGTTCTTGTGCCACTTTCACTATCTTGATTTTATATATTTTCTTTCAAGATAAACTTGAGAAGAAGAAGTGCGCCAGAGTGCAGTCACCCGTCCTCATTCCTGTATATGAGGAAAACACTTTAGAAGAGTGAGGTGATCCTGTCCATGACACAGGATTACCTTAATCATTAAGCTACCTTACAAAACACTAAGACTTCTGTTAGCTAAAAAATAATATTGTGCCATTTTTAGCCCAAACTCAAGGCTTCGTTGTTAGATTTTATACAGACAGTGACTTCTGCAAGATCTGTATTCCTTTTGGAATATAGATTTTTTTTTTTGTCAGCAGTTTTAATTTACCTTCTACTTTAATTTAAATAGCCTTTTTCTGGTCAATGAAACAAGATGGGAAGAGAAGGTTGACATGTTCTCACTATGTTCTTCCTAATTCCTGGACCTGCAAACACTGTTAAGTATGCACATTAATTTTGTATGTAACAGCATACTATGTTGTTACACAGCCAGCAGATTCCTTTGAAAAGCAGACATATTCTCTTGTCATCATGTTCTGTTCAGCCAAGACTGGTCTAAATTTCAGATAGCATATTCAGCTGCTTTCAGACAGCTCAGTTTCCAATCACATTATCTTATGATGTATGATGACTCCTATTCTCCTCACAGTTTGCAACCAGTGCCTTGCAACTTGTCTTACCACAGGTACAAGATTCTTAATGCCTCAGCCATTCCAGAAGGCCAATTCATTGACAGCAAAAGTGCTTCGGAAAAGCTTCTTTCTTCTATTGATGTGGACCACAACCAATACAGATTTGGCCATACCAAGGTAAAGTCCTTGTGGAAGAGTGGGTACAATCAGTGGCAAAAAAAAAAAAATACCATTTGTTTAAAGAATTTCTTCCAGATCAAATCAGCCTTCATGATGACTAGGAAACAAAGTACAGTACAAGCAAGAAGGAGCACACAAAACTTGTCTGGTTCTTGGGGTATGTGTTAGGATAGGCCTGTCAGTCCAGGCAACACCATGCTACCAGAATGACTCTGCATGGCTGTAACTAGAACTAGTGCTGCCCCTTTCTCCTGCCAGATGAACTCCCTGACATCAGTGCACATTAGGCAAGCTAAGATAAGTTTAGGAAGACAGACTTTTCAGGGGATTTAGGCACACACATGTCTCTCTTCCATATCCAAAGCAGCGTTAGGTGGTACACTGATTCTCTGACCAACACAATCAAAGCAGTACTATCTCTGGACACAAACCCAACTGTATATACTATTATATGGACATCATCGTGTATGGCTCTCAAGCCATCTGTATGTCAGTTTACAGAGCCTGACCACTAAGATACAGAAGGATACAGTGAAGCAACAGGATAAGATATCATACTAAGTTGCAAGTTAACTCTGTTTTAATAACTATTGATGAGCTAAATCTTCCACAACCTACTCTAGAGTGTGCCTCAAATAACATTGCAATAGTGTGATTAGTTCACATATAACGTGACTTGTCATCAATCACAGAAACACTGAGGATATGAACCCCAAATTTCTCTAGCTGTTCAATGTCTACTCTGCAGGTGTTCTTCCAAAACTTCTTTAAACTATACTGCATCAGCTTCCAATGGTTGTGTATCTGCCTAGCCCTCAAACTATTCAAACCTCTTTTATATTTTAGGTGTTCTTCAAAGCGGGTCTCTTAGGACTCCTAGAAGAGATGAGAGATGAGAAGCTTGTGAGCCTCATCACTCATACACAAGCTATGTGCAGAGGGTACCTCATGAGAACTGAATTTAAAAAGATGAATGAAAGAAGGTAATACAAGGACACACTAAGTAACTTATTGTGACAGACCAAAAGTCTGGCAATGCACTACCCTCTCTCAGGAAAAAATCTGTCCCCGGTGAAGACCCTTAGAAAGACCAGGGGAAACAGAAAAAGCAGAAACTAATACTTTCCTTGTTATAGCCTTCCAAATCCTTGCAATGGCTGTTTAGCAATTGGACTGTGCATCTGGACCATGATATTTAATATTTAACAGTGAACCTTTCCTCCAGGAATGCACTAACTTTTAGAACCATTTTCAACCTCTCCCTGTGATGGAGACAGACAAACCTTTCCATTTGTTCAGTAGGCTGTTTGGCTTGTGCTGTCTGATAATTTTATTGAATCTCATTAGTCCAGTTTTGTAAGGAAAGGAACAAAATCACATTCTGCTCTCCTTCTCTTCAATTTTCTTTCATGACTTCATCATCTAAGATAAAGAATTCTAGCTTGTACAGAGAATACTTTTTTCTCTATACTGTATATAATACTCTATACTTTTGACCTTCCCACATACCCTTCCAAATTATATTCTGTCCCTTTAAGGTGGAATGAGTCATGCAACATTTAGAATGTAGGGATGGCAGCAGCCAAGCAAACTGTCTCAAACATTGTTGACAAGTGAAAGCTTTAGGGAAAGCTAGGATCACTAGGAAGCTCTTTGCTAACCAGTTGCTTTTATCTATAATATTCTACAGCATATATTTAGTTCAGTGACTTCCTGACCCAGGCACAGTTTCTAAGAATTCAATAACTCTTATTGGATTTCTCTACAATGAACTGTTGAAGGTCCCCTTGAACTATGGGCATAGACAAAAATCCTTTGGCATTCAGTACCATAAAAAAGATTTAATTTCTGTTTTTATGTTCTGTCTTAATAATTTCTATAGTTGCTATTTTTTGTGATCCAAAAGCATCAAGATACTGCTTCCACGATTTACAGTAACTCCCATATTTATAATCTCAACAGCAATAGTTCATGGAAATCAGTTTTCATTCTGGTCTTTACCAGAGCACTTGCACTTTCTTTGAGATTTGGGAAAGTCTCAGAGATTTCCAGGCAACATTCCAGAGAAGTTTGTCTGTTTTTAAGTATTTCTTTCCATGTCCATACATAGCTATTGTTCATGCTACTGAACTAGTCATGCAGCAATCCAGGGCCTAGAAATGACTTTTAATAGAAAGAAGCAAGGTGAGATAAAAAGTTTCACACAAAACTGCCCTGAGCAGAATGCTGATGCTGTGTGACCAATAACCAGAGTCTGTTTCTAACACAAGTCTCACTAGTCTGATAATCTGTATCATTTTCATGTGTTTTCAGAGAATCCATTTACATCATTCAATACAATGTTAGAGCATTCATGAATGTCAAGCACTGGCCCTGGATGAAGCTGTTCTTCAAGATCAAGCCCTTGCTGAAGAGTGCAGAATCTGAGAAGGAGATGGCAAATATGAAGGAAGAGTTTGAGAAAATCAAGGAAGAGCTTGCAAAGTCTGAGGCAAAGAGGAAGGAGCTGGAGGAGAAAATGGTGTACCTGTTGCAAGAGAAAAATGAACTGCAGCTGCAGGTTCAGTCTGTGAGTAGCCTCCATTTTCAGATTCGCCCTACCGCCTCTTCAATTCTCTTTTCTGTTGTCCTACATAAACAGACAGGTAACAGGGCCAGATTTTTCAGTGCTTTAGATGTTACACTGTATACACAATGTGCACTACCTGTGGTCTCCAAATCTGGATTAAATACAGACTATTTCCTCATTTACTGACCACTAAAATGTGGAGCCAGGGATGGGGCTGCTTTTCTGTCAGAGACAGGACTGAAACTGTGGAACAAAGACATGCTTTTCAGCTACAACAGTGCTGAGCAGAGACTGAAATTGCACAAGGCAAGAAGGTATTGAAATATAATAAAGATTCTCTGTGGCCAAGGGCAGTCTGGTGCAAGTGGACCTGTCACTTGATTCTATGTGCTCCCAAACCAGCCATCTTTGGACAGTCCTGTATTGTTTTAGGCCCCAAGGATGTAACCATGCATGTTGAAAACAAGATTCCTTACCGGAATCCTCCTTCAGCACTTCAGTTTAACATATTTTTCTGAGTTTTTTTGTACCCTTTTTGGTACTTAATGCCCTGTCCTCCAGAGCCAACCTAGTCTATAAGCATTTCAGGCTTCACTTCATGTATGGTAATCCAAAAAAGGCAAGACCATATTTAGCTAACTAACTTCAACGTTAGGATACCATTTGAAGCATTCAATAGTTTCAAATGTATGGGCATAAAAGAAGTCCTAAGGTATGATCATTGCCCTCAGAGTGTTGTCTGGTTCTTTCTTGAATCACAGTTTCTTACTGTTTCAGCACTAGAACAGCCCTTCCTGTCTGCTCTTTAAGTCCCATTGCTGTGTGAATTTCAATCAACTCTGCTTGAAGGGTTCCTCAAGAGCCATCTTGTCCATGTTTGTTATCAGAAAATGCACACTTGATAACCATGATTTTCAGTGCCCCATGAGTTTCAGTAGGAATCTGAGAGAGAATTATACACAACATACTACATTACTGCAGTGATGTCTTTTGGCCACGACTCTTATGGGAAGCAACATATACCTTTTCTGGTATTCTGCCTAGAATACCTCACAGTAGCATTAATTTGGGTAACATTTTATCTGTCAGTCATGTTGCTCAAAATGACAGATAAGTTGCAGGCTAAAATTTAGGTTGAGCAATCCTGTTTAGCCATGAGCCTGAGCCTGTCTTGGCTGAGAGAGAGTTTAGAGAATAATGGGAGGAAGGAAGTATCATGTGAATTAAGTGACAGAAGTTGGGGGAGAGACTATCAGACTTGTGTCATTAATTGGAAGAGCTTATTACAGACAGAATCATCCCCAACGCTCTGAAAGATGACTATGAAATACTGTGTTTTATAAATCCACATCTAAGCTCACGCTTCCATGACACCCAGTTTGCTGACCCACCTATTTATATTGCTGATACCATAGGCTCCTTGTTATGACACAAACCGGTCAGTTTTTATGGCGTGTTATTACAGTCAAAATATCTGACCAGATGAAAGGAAGCATCTATGATTCTATGATCTCTGTTGTGGGATTATGCTTCACTTTCCTAAGCCATGACAAAGCAGTTCAATCTCCCCATGATTAGATCTTGTGCATTACTGTGGTTTGCATGTGAACTTTTGCCCTGACTTATACAATTCATTTCCTGGAGGTGGTGTTTGAGCAACATGTTACCTTTCATAATTTTTATGAAAATATAACATGCCTTCAATATGTTCTAACAGGATAGTGAAAATCTAGCTGATGCTGAAGAGAGATGTGAAGGTCTCATCAAAAGTAAAATTCAGCTGGAAGCTAAAATTAAAGAACTTAGTGAAAGAATGGAGGATGAAGAAGAAACGAACGCTGAACTGACAGCAAAGAAGAGGAAACTGGAGGATGAGTGCTCTGAGCTGAAGAAAGATATTGATGACCTTGAACAGACTCTGGCCAGAATGGAAAAGGAGAAGCATGCAACAGAGAATAAGGTGACAGGGATCATGAAATTATTCTTCCCCAGAATGTTTTCAGTTCTGTGGCAAGTTACAGAATTTCCTAAGTGGTTTGAATGGAAGTGATATGTTCCCAAAGTATAGGAAAGGTAACACCTAAGTGCCTGTGGCATAAAAGGTTTTGCTAAAATTATAACTTCCTCTTAGGAAAAAAAATATTATTATTTTCCTATTGCAGTTCAAATGAGTTAACTTTTTTTAGGTGTTAAGGTGTTTGATGGAGAACTTCTATCTTCCACTGTTTTTACATATAAGGAGCCAGTATATTTGTGTCTCTTGTGGATGGAGAACTAGTATGTTTGTGGGTGGCTCAGTACAAAATGGCTGTTTTGAGCCTTTCCCATGTGCATCAAAGTGAACTGATCTTGCAGATGCCAAATGTTTTCTTATATTTCTCTTCGTTGTGGTTTAACCTGGCCGGCAGCTAAACACCACACAGCTGTTCACTCACTCACTGTGTTCCGTAATAACTTAATAAACCTCATTTTCTGAGAAATTACATCTGTGTGCCTAGCAAATGTATTGTATTTAGAAAATGCATTTTTTGTGCAGGAACAACCCAGAGTCCTTTAGTAAATCCCAATAAAGTAAAGCTTGCAGAGGCTGTGAAAATCTAGCACACATTCCACTACTAAAACTAGCAGGATAGAACTGGTAGTCAAGACCAACTCAAGCAGGAATTCTTACCATTGCAGGGTCAGACAGGTGTGCCAGCCATGATGCTGGTTACTCCCATCATTAATAGTATATACCTTAGTGGAAAGCACTTTGACGTAACCCATACAATATTTTGCAAGGCTACACTCACTGCTTTTTCTTAGTCTATCATTTCCCATGGCACCCCCTCATAGTATGGATGCTTGCTGCCTAACAGGTAAAGAATCTAACTGAAGAGATGACAGCTCTGGATGAAAATATTTCCAAACTCACCAAGGAGAAAAAGGCCTTACAGGAGGTACACCAGCAGACACTGGATGACCTGCAAGCTGAGGAAGACAAAGTCAGCACACTCACCAAAACAAAGACCAAACTGGAGCAGCAAGTAGATGTTGTAAGAAAAAAAATAATAATAATAATAATAATAAATGGAGTTTTGTAGGTGGATGCTCTGACAGATTAGGAGAGGGTAGAAATCTGCAGCTAGGTGTGTAAACAATACCTAAAGCAGCCAAGCCAGCTCTAGTAATTTCACTTAATAACTCATGGGCAGTTGAGAGGGTATTGTGGAAACCAGTGTTTCTTCCATATTTCCTTGCCTGCTTAATCTATGTTTATAAGTGGATATTCCAGTATTGTAGGCCTTTGTGCCCCATTTTAACCAATTAGCTACAGCAGTGTATCTGTGACATTCTGAAGCTTGCTGTGAACTTATAAAATTTATGTATATACACCATGACACTGCAGACACTGGGAATTTGTCAATGTTTTGCAGTCTGCATGCTAAGAACTGCACTAACTGAAAAAAAATAATTTGTGTATTTTTCAAAAACTTTCATTTCAACTGTGAATGGCCAAGTTGTGGCCAGCTTAATATCTGAAGATAAACCCTGACTCTGTAGTGAGCGTATCAAAAGTAGAGATGAGAAGCATTTACAGTATGATTGTTTTCTCCAGTTTTCAATATTCAATTTAAGTAAAGATTTTTAAATCAGGAATATTTACCATTGAGGTATGTTTTATGTGTTTCAAACTATGTCTTATGTATTTTAGCTTGAAGGGTCTCTGGAACAAGAGAAGAAATTGAAAATGGACCTTGAGAGAGCAAAGAGAAAACTGGAAGGGGATCTGAAAATGTCTCAGGTTTCCATCATGGATCTGGAAAATGATAAGAAACAGATGGATGACAGGCTAAAAAAGTATTGCACTGACATTTGAATTCTAGAATTCATATTTTATCTTAACCATATTGAATTTGCATTTTTGTTCTTTAACAGAAAAGACTTTGAAATTAACCAGCTCCAAAGTAAAATTGAGGATGAGCAGGCTCAAAGTTCTCAGCTGCAAAAGAAAATCAAGGAGCTTCAGGTAAAGTCTAAGGGATATTGATATATTTATTAGCTGAGTACAGCTTTGTATTGGGTTTATATGGCAAGGTTTTGGTAGCGGGGGGCTGCAGGGGTGGCCTGAGAAGAGTTCAAAAGCTGCCCCATATTAGATAAAGGCCAGCTTCAGCTGGCTCCAAAAGGGACCTGCCACTGCCCAGAACTGAGTAGTGGGAAATGGGAAATCACACAGAATCACACAGAATTTCTAGGTTGGAAGAGACCTCAAGATCATCGAGTCCAATCTCTAACCTAACACAAACAGTCCCCACTAAACCATATCCCTAAGCTCTACATCTAAACGTCTTTTAAAGACCTCCAGGGATGGTGACTCCACCACTTCCCTGGGTAGCCTGTTCCAGTGTCTAACAACCCTTTCAGTAAAGAAGTTCTTCCTAACATCTAACCTAAAACTCCCCTGGCGCAACTTTAGCCCATTCCCCTTCGTCCTGTCACCAGGTATGTGGGAGAACAGGCCAACCCCCACCTCACTACAGCCTCCTTTAAGGTATCTGTAAAGAGCAATAAGGTCGCCCCTGAGCCTCCTTTTCTCCAGGCTGAACAAGCCCAGCTCCCTCAGCCGCTCCTCGTAGGACTTGTTCTCCAGGCCCCTCACCAGCTTCGTCACCCTTCTCTGGACCCACTCAAGCACCTCGATGTCCTTCCTGTAGCGAGGGGCCCAAAACTGAACACAGTACTCGAGGTGTGGCCTCACCAGAGCCGAGTACAGGGGGGCAATCACCTCCCTAGCCCTGCTGGTCACACTGGTTCTGATACAAGCCAGGATGCCGTTGGCCTTCTTGGCCACCTGAGCACACTGCTGGCTCATATTCAGCCAACTATCAACCATCACTCCCAGGTCCTTCTCTGTCTGGCAGCTTTCCAACCACTCATCTCCCAGCCTGTAGCTCTGCTTGGGGTTATTGCACCCCAGGTGCAGGACCCGGCAATTGGCCTTGTTGAAATTCACGCAGTTGACCTCAGCCCATCAGTGCAGCCTATCCAGATCCTCCTGCAGAGCCTTCCTACCCTCAAGCAGATCGACACACGCACCTAGCTTGGTGTCATCTGCAAACTTACTGAGGGTGAAGTTTGCAGATGACACCAAGCTAGGTGCGTGTGTCGAGCGATTAAGCAATATCGGTTGTGCCTCTGGGAGAACATATTTAAGAAAGGGAAAATAAGATATCCACGCTGCAGCCCATAGTGGAGCAGGTGGATCTGCCCTGAAGGAGTCTGTAGCCTATAGAGAGCCCCTGCAGGAGCAGGCCCCGAGCCAGAGCTGCCACCTGTGGAGAGGAGCCCATGCAGGAGCAGCGGGCCTGAGTGGAGCTACTGCCCTTGGGGGACCCATGCTGGAGCAGTTTGCTCCTGGGGTATGTACCCCATGGTACGGAGTCATATGGTCCGTATGGGAGCAGTTCTTGAAGAGCTGCAGCCTGTGGGCAGCCCCACAGGATCAGTTTGTGAAGGAGGGCATCCCGTGGGAGGGACCCTACATGGAGCAGAGGCAGAGTGACTGAGGAGTGGTGGAGATGAAGCATTAGGGACTGAGCACAACACCCATTTCACTGTGCCTCTTGGAAGGAAGGAGGTGGAAGAGGATGGATGGGGGAAAGGTGTTTGTAGTTTGTTTTTAGTTTCTCACTGCTCTAGCTTGTTAGTAAAAGGTAATAAATTTCATTAATCTCGCTATGTTGAGTCTGTTTTGCCTGTGACAATTACTGTTGAGTGATCTCCCTGTCCTTATTTCAACCCTGAGCCTTTCTCATCATATTTTTTCCCCTTTCCCTTTGAGGAGGGACAGTGAGAGAGCAGTTGTGGTGGAAATTGGCTGCCCAGCAAACTAAAACCACCACAAGGTTCATTAGAATTAATGTTTGATAATCAATTAAGAATTTATGTTTTCTTAGACTGTTCTACAAAAATATTTATCTACACATGAATAAAACAATGAACATGGGTGCTATTCCAATCTCAGGGCACTTTTACAGAGGCTCTGGTCTATACTCATAGCTGACTATATAAGAAATCACTTAAGTGAACCTTGTGGCAGACTTCAAAAATGGATCCAATGCTGACTTGTAATAGTAGTGAAGCTACTGAGAATTACCTTTCAGAGAAAACAAAAGACTGATATTTTCTCATCATCAGGGCAGAAATCACCTTCCAAATGGAGACACAGGAAGAAACTCCTTTAAGTGACATTATCCCATGGTTGCTCATCCCAAGGTTCCTTCTATCTTGTTTGCTGCTGGAGATGGCCTGCCTGACCTTCTGCAAATTTATAATAAATTCATATTATTTTATATTTGTCGGTGGCACATCCCTCATGTCTTTAAAAAAGTACAGTACTAGGTCTGTCATTACATAATGAATCCATTCTAAAATACAACATAAAATGAAGTATCAGATTTTACATTCACTGCTGCTCCAAAACTGAGTATTTTAAGTCCTAGGACACAGTTCAGTGAAATTTCTAGTGGTGTTTCACTATCTATGCTGATATAAATGGAAGTGAATGTACGTTCTTTGTTCCTTAAAGGTAATTTCATGTACTTCTATTCAGAAATCTTCATTTAACCAATTAATTTTCATAGGCTCGAATCGAGGAATTGGAGGAGGAAGTTGAAGCTGAACGTGCAGTCTATGCAAAGACTGAAAAGCAGCGAGCTGAACTTTCCAGGGAGCTGGAAGAAATCAGCGAGCGCCTGGAAGAAGCAGGAGGAGCTACGGCAGCTCAGATTGAGACGAACAAGAAGCGTGAGGCAGAATTTCAGAAGATGTGCTGCAACCTCGAAGAGGCCACGCTGCAGCACGAAGCCACAGCTGCTGCCCTGCGGAAGAAGCACGCAGACAGCACAGCTGAGCTTGGGGAGCAGATCAACAACCTGCAACAAGTCAAGCAGAAGCTGGAGAAGGAGAAGAGTGAGCTGAAGATGGAGATAGATGACTTGACCAGTAACATGGAGTCTGTCTCTAAAGCCAAGGTTGCTGCATAGGAAAAAACATTTCTCATTGCTATTATTGTTCTTCTAAACAATGGGATGAGCTGACAGATGTGCTTTCTATTTCTTAACAGAGCAATTTGGAAAAGATGTGCAGAGCTCTTGAAGACCAGTTTAGTGAAGTCAGAACCAAAGATGATGAACATATGCGGCTAATTAATGACCTGAACACACAGAAAACATGTCTACAGACTAAGAATGGTGTGTCCCTAGACAAAATATAATTGTCCTGTGCCAAGCACTTAAATATGTTGCCTGAATGCCTGTGTATTTTCTTATATGTTCATCACTGAGTGATCTGAGCAAAACTCAGACTGTAGAATTTCCTCCTTGTGGCCGTCATGGATACTCCACCCAAAGAAACAAAGATAACCCAAAAGAACCAAAACCAGTGTGTGTTTTTTGCAGTCAGCTCATCCCCTTTCTTTTGATGCTTAGCATAGCGTTCATCTTTGATAGCTTTTTTCTACCTGGTGGAAATTAAATTGTTACTCTCCCTTCTTTTTACCACATTGTATCTTGTAATCTCTTTCCATATAATCTCTTTCCTCATTCATATGAATTTTATATGTCTGTCTGTTCATATTCTTCCATCTAAAAAAAAAGTGTTTTCTCATTAGATGAACTAACGCAGCAACTACAGGAGAAGGAGTCATTGATTTCTCAGTTGACTAGAAGCAAACAGTCTTTCACGCAGCAGACAGAAGAGCTAAAGAGGCAACTAGAGGAAGAAAATAAGGTGAGTTGTTTTAATTTGGCCCAGAAAACTGTAAAATAAAGGCAGAGACATGAGAACAGTTAAACTTTTGAGCTTTGCCTTGGAATATAATACACAGAAGTGACATAGAAATTAAATAAGACAGTTTAAGCCCTTCTTGCCATGCTTTCTGAAGTTCAAAAACATGAAAGAAGTGAATAAAAATAGCTCTGTGTACATACCTTACTCCTACAGGAAATCATTCAGGCAAAGGGTACAGCAGCAGTGAAAAAAAGACAGTAGTGGAGTACCCAGGTAGTACCGGGAGTACCCAGGACTAGAAATGGCAATACAGTTTAAAGTCTCTTCCACCTTCAGATAAACACTAAATTTTACCTAAAAAGCTTACAGGGAAACATCTTCTGGAGCAATTATTCACACATTTCCTGTTGCTGAATTTATTGCATCTTTGCCTGAAGCACTTCGTGCTGATGTGCTTAAGAGGCGGTATCCCAGACAAATTGGGCAAAAAGAACTGATCCTGATTAACAATGTCGAGTCTGAAATACAGAGTTCCAAATGCTATTCACTTTTCTCCTCCAGTTACTCTAGCAACTGCTGTACGTAGGCTGTAAGATGTGGATTTTTTTTTTATTATTATTATTTTTTTATCAAAATGTAGTAAAAATGTCCAGTCACAAACGGTTAGTGTTCTGACAATTTGTATCATTCTAACTACACAGGCCAAGAATGCCCTAGCCCATGCCTTGCAGTCTGCTCGCCATGACTGTGACTTGCTCCGGGAACAATATGAACAGGAGCAGGAAGCCAAGGGAGAGCTGCAGCGTGCCCTGTCCAAAGCCAACAGCAAAGTGGCCCAGTGGAGAACCAAATACGAGACACATGCTATTCAGCGCATGGAAGAGCTGGAAGAAGCAAAGTATGTGGAGGGATGATCTTGAACAAGTAGAAGGATATTTATGTAAAAATGTGAGAAGGAACTGGAGGAAACCAGAATATGTTTGTAGTGGGAATATGCAGAGCAATGTACTTTGTAATGTGTTGGGACTGAAAACGGGAGGGAGTAAAGGTTTAAAGGAGGAGAGGTGGAGGTTTGTTAAAGTTTCTACAGAATGGACAATTCCAGTGTATTAACTATAGAGTTAAACATAGTAGTTGAAAAATTGCACTCTTGACACTGATGATACTGAAAGTGTGTTTCTGGTTCCTCTCCACATTGGTGTAGGCTACCCCTTGGATACTCTTGTTTCTTCACTGGTTCCATCTCATATTTCACCTCTCTCCCAGATTTCTAGGGAGTCCCCCTTCCAAGTTATGATCACTCACATGTCCATATCTCCTCTGTGTATTCTCCCAGCCTACACACCACTCCAAGCATTCTTTGTTATCCTAGGCTCCTATTGATGTTATCTGATCACACTATCACAGCTTTGTATGTTGCTCTCTCTTCTTCTTTCTCCTATGCCACACTTCTTTCCTGTCCATTTTCTCAGAACGTCAGAATTTTCCTTCTCTCAGTACTGATTGTCTTGTCCTGCAGAAAGAAGCTTGCTCAGCGGCTGCAGGATTCAGAGGAGCAGACTGAGGCTGTCAATTCAAAGTGTGCTTCACTGGAGAAGACAAAGCAGAGGCTGCAGGGGGAAGTGGATGACCTCATGATTGACATGGAGAGGTTGAACGCAGCCTGTGCAGCGTTTGATAAAAAGCAGAAGAATTTTGACAAGGTTCATTCAGAAAGCCTACCAGATACGAATATCATAAAAATCTGATAGGCCAGGCCAAATTCTGAAAGCATGAAAGTTCTGCACTCACAATAAGATAAATTATATTTTATCCAAAGCAAAACTGGGGGTAAGGAGCACCAAACAGGACATGTAGTAATAATAATGTCACAGTGTGAATAATCTAAGGTAACCACATCATATAATAACATAGATTTCTGATAGTTTTAAAAAGCATGAAGCTTTCACAAGGGAGAATGGGAAGATCTGTATCAAGTCTTTGATCAAGTAGACTGAAAGTTTTCATATAAATTCTAACAAGCCCCTACTTTTGGCTGGTGCTAGTCTTCCAGCCTTTTATTCAGATTAGGCATAGCTTCAACCTCCTTAATCAGTTCCAACCTTCACTGCCTTTAATAACATTACTAAAAGGCTCAACACTGTTTGCCCAAGTGATGTTGCATAGCCCTGTGTATGTGGTTGAAATGGGTAGATGAGCTAAAGAACATGGCCTGCAGGGCTGTGCAGAAGACAATAGGAGAAAATAGCACGATCTTTGTTGGTGAGCTGAGTGCAAGAGCACTGGGTCCTGAAATAATAAACAGGCTCACACAGCCTCATTCAGACTAACCACGTTGTGTCCAAGTTGCTGTGAAACCAAACACCTACCTGTGAGCTTGGGGGCATACACTCCTATTGTCTGAAGAGAATAACATAAGTAGCTGCCCTTGAAACAGACAAAGTATGTATCCCAGTGAATTGATTGTCACAGGCAGTGAATGTGCAATAAAGAAGATTTTGTGATCCGATGCCATGCCTCTGAGGTTCTTGTTACATATACGTACAGGGACAGGAGTGTTGAAGAACGGGCCATTCTTATGCTCTGATGGTTTCTGTCACTCCAGGTTGTGGCTGAGTGGAAGCAGAAGTACCAGGAGAGTCAGGCTGACCTGGAAGCTGCCCAGAAGGAGTCTTGCTCCCTTAGCACTGAGATATTCCGGATGAAGAATGCCTATGAAGAAATTCTTGACCAGGCAGAGACTGTCAGACGGGAGAATAAGAACCTCCAGCGTAAGTTCTCAGATCTTTGTCAGCTGGGATCCATCATGCTAAGATGCTTCCGTGTTTCTGGGGTACATGAACTCTGCCTCTTCCCAAGCTTTTGTTTCTTATGGTTTTCCCACAAAACTCAGGTTAGGTGACTTTCCTTCCTGTTCAGCTCATCACAAGGTCACCTATAAGCACATGAGTACAGCTTATGATAATATCCTACTTCCTCATGGTTTCTAACACCATCATTATATTTCTCCTCCTTCACACCATCATAATCCCCTTGATGGAAAGGGAACACATTAACCGAACAGACAGAAATGTTGATGAAAACAGATACTAATGTTTTTCAGACAGCTTCAGTCATTACCATTAGAAAAGACCTGGTGGGCTGTTGTCTGCCTTCTGGTTGGAGCACCATGCAGATGTGGCACAACAGATTGTCATTTAATCAGCTAACTAATTGTGTAAAGGAATTCAATTCTGTTTTGTGAAGTTTAGTGATCCCTGGGGAGGGAGAATTTGGGAATGAATTTGGGATTTTGGGAATCAAACAGAACTGTCTCTGGAGATACGATATCACTATCCAGAGGTAACTGATACTACTCTCTGAGCTCCCTCCAGTTGGTCCCCCTCATTTTTAAACTTGCACATTGAACTGGAAATAGCAGGTAATCCAAAATAAATATTGCACATGAGACAGGATCTGTTATTTTCTCTCACTGCCATTTCATAATACACCATTATCTCTTCTGTCACTCCCACTGCCAAACAGCAATTGCAGGTGCCATTGGCAACAAGATGAGCTAAATGTGTATTTTCTGTGTTACAGAGGAAATTTCTGATCTTACTGAACAGATTGCTGAAGCTGGAAAAACTAATCATGGACTGGAGAAAGCAAAGAAGCAAACTGAACAAGAAAAATGTGACATTCAGGCAGCATTAGAAGAAGCGGAGGCAAGTGTCCTCAATAAGGGGTCTTGTTTTGGGAGAGACCATAAATGGAGAAAGCAGAACAAATAACATAGAGACTGCCCCTCACCTAATGTAGCATAGCTTGTTGTGCCACCTTACGCACACACAAAAAAAAAAAAAAAAAAAAAATCAGTCCCAGGCTAAAACTAAGCTCATTTTGCACCACCAGTTTGATTTTGCTCCTCTGAAAGGCTACAGAAAGGTCATTTGTTTCAAAACTCTGACGGTTTTTGTTCCCTAGTCAAAATACATTACGTTACGCAGAGCCTATTCTAATTGTTTTTGTAATTTTCAAGGATGGAGATTTCATAGTATTGCTGGACAACCTTTACCCTTGCTGCTTCGTTCTTGTGGGGGAATATTTTTATGCTTAGTTCAGTCAGGATTTCCATAGTATCAACTTTTTTCTGTTGCCTTTTGCGATGTCCACTTCCATGAAGAGCTTCATTTCATTTTCGCCATAACTCTCCTTAGATAGAATAAAATGGAATAAAAACAATTGACATATCTGATCTTGAGATCACACTAGATGGGACAGCAGTAGGAACAAGAGTTATAGTGGCCATGATAATCCATCTGGTCCAATTTCTGTATCTAAATGTCAGAAGTCTAATCCTGAATTAGTCACCACAGGCTCTTTGTAGAACCAAGAAGGAGAACTAGGTATCTCTGGAGGGTCTGTTCTAAAAAGGAATGCCAGGGCTACATCAAATGCTTAATCCTCTGGATGTGCTTATTTCTGTCCACTTGTTCTGAAGACCCAGCCTCAAACTCTAATTTCTAAACATTGTAAGCTAGATGATATGAATATCACAGGGAAAAGGCTGTATGGAAGGGGGGAATGCTCACACAGTTGTTGGGGCTTCGCACCTTGGGAGGGACTACGTGCAGAGTCTCTAAACAGAATTCAGCATTGAGACACAAATGACAGCAAGCTTCTTCTCAGTATGAGGCTTGGCTTTCCTGTAAATTTAATGTTTTCATGTGTTTTGTTATCTCTGCAGTGTCAACATAGCTCTCAGTGCCCAGAATTTGTGATATTGGAGTCACTGTTCTAAGAAATCTTATTATTAAATTATTGATTACTATCCCACTAAGGTATAATAATTCCTGTGTATGGGAAAAGCAGTCTGCATTTGCAGAGTTAGGCCTTTTCTAAAGGTCCACAGTAATGCAAATATGTCTGTGTTACTGACTGTGAAGTGTCAAAATTCTGCATGGGCGTTTCCTAGAATAGACACTACATAGACAAATAATATTGTTTCAACACTTTTAGGGCTCTTTAGAACACAAAGAAGTAAAAATCTTGCATGTTCAGCTGGAGCTGAACCAAGTGAAGTCAGATGTTGATAGAAGGAATGCAGAGAAAGATGAGGAAATCCAACAGCTGAAGAGGAATCACCAGATGGCATTAGATTCTATGCAAACTGCGTTGGATGCTGAGATTAGAAGCAGAAACAATGCTTTGAGGCTGAAAAAGAAGATGGAGGGAGATCTATATGACATGGAGATACAGCTGAGCCATGCCAACTGTCAGGTGGCAGAGACACAGAAGCACATCAAAGGCATGCAAGGGCAACTCCAGGTAGAGATCAGAAGGGCAGCTGTCCTATAAAGACTTTGACACTCTGCTTGCCTCTGAATCTCATGGTGCTTTCAATTTCAAAGGATTCCCAGCTCCATTTGGATGATGCTTTGAGAGAGAATAACAACCTGAAGGAGCAGCTTGCTATGGTAGAGCGTAGGAACAACCTGATGACAACAGAACTTGAGGAGATGAGAGCTGCCCTGGAGCAGACAGAACGAGTCCGGAAAGTTTCTGAGCAGGAGCTGATAGATGCCAGTGAGCGAGTACAGATTCTCCACTCTCAGGTATTTGGTATCTCCTTTGTAACAGGCATGTTAGTCTGGCATGAAATGGTATGGAAATGAGCTGTCTTTGGACTGTCCCAACAGAACACAAGCCTCCTCAACACCAAGAAGAGACTGGAAGCAGACATTACTTATTTACAGAATGAAGTTGAACAGATCATTCAGGAAGCCAGAAATGCAGAGGAGAAAGCAAAAAAAGCAATCATAGATGTGAGTTCTCCTGCTTGCCTCTCTTCCATTTTATACTACTCCAGTCACATTTATACTTTAGAAAGATAGCCATTAGGTGGGGGAGAATTGATTATTCAACTTAGGAACAGAAAATATCAGTGACGCACAATCCCTCCTACTTGGGCCTTGCACAGCCTCTGCTCTACTGCTTGTCATGGAAGAACCATTCAGTCTAGGTCATCTACTCATGTTCTGTTACCAGTCTGTTTTGACAAAGAACCCTGTCTCCTCTTTTTAATACCTACTTTGTGGGTACTCACTTTGACTTCCAGGGTAGATAGAAAGCAAAAAACAAATGATGGCAAAATTGAAATGGGAAGAATAGCCCAAACCAAGTCCTATTTAGATACAGCAGAAAACAGGAACTGAGACTAAAATCATATGTCTCTATGCAAGAGATACAGAAAATAAAAAGGGAAAATAGAAATGTTTTATTTAAACAAGGAAATTGTTCGACAGTATCAGAAGAAACAAATGTTAGAACTATCCAGAAAGGGTGTATGAAGATGAAACAGAAAATTGTTACACTACTGCAACACATCACGACTCACTTGGGTCTGAAGTACTGTGTTTAGTTCTGGTTCCCCCTCAGCAGCCATGCTGCAGGTTCCCCTATGGCTTCTCTGTCCTTTTTATGAAACCGTGGTGATAGCTATTCAGGATTCTGAAGAGTTCAACGGGCACAAGCTTTTCATTGTTATTAGGAGACATTCAGGGTCATTTAATTGGTAAACACTGCTAAGGAGTCTGACTCTGAAACTTAAGCACCAAACAACCAGATATTTAAAATCATTTAGTTTAGCAGAGATGCTTTTAAACTTTGGATCCTGAGTCATTTGGATGTTGTTCTTGTTGTCATCAACCCTGCCCATACTCCAAGGCAGAGTACCTGTAGAAATACCAACAAATGGTGATCATTCTTATATGACAGACCCTTAGCACAGCCATAGGCACCGACTGAGAATGTAGAGATCCAAACACCAATATGAAGCTGGTCATTGTTCATTGCTCCCAACAGGAGCACGGAACTGCTAGTGATGTGAAGATATAACTCTGTACTATAACCAGGCAGCCATGATGGCAGAAGAGCTGAAGAAGGAGCAGGACACCAGCGCCCACCTGGAGAGGATGAAGAAGAATCTGGAACAAATGGTGAAGGACCTGCAGCACCATCTGGATGAGGCTGAGCAGCTGGCACTGAAGAGTGGAAAGAAGCAACTTCAGAAACTAGAGGCAAAGGTATGGGAGAAACTGGGGTACACTAAGGTCAGGGTCCTGAGTTGATCTTTGGCTGCTGGAATCTCTTGGGAAGGTTACAGTAGAGATTTCCAGCAGGTTTGATGAGGTACATTGAATAGTCAAATGCTGCACTGCATGTAAGGAACTTGAGAACAACCTCATAAAACCTGAATAAGTGGGCAAAGATGGTGGCAGATGAACACCGGTGTAGGCATACTCCTAGGGAAAAATAATTTAAAACATACTTACATGGGGACAAGTTTGGAACTGGCAGTTACAGAAAGAAGAGATTTCAATCCATGACAGGTCTCAGAAACTGCTCAATGTGCAGTAGAAGCAAAAAGCCAAAAAAAAAAATAGTTAGCCTTTATTAGGAAGGGCACTGAGACCAGAGAGAGAGAGAGAGAGAGCATTACTTGCCACTATATTATATGTACTACATGTAGTTTGGTCTCTGCATCTCAAGAAGAACCCACCAGTTAGAGAACCTTCCAGGAAATGGCAGATGAGGGGGTGAAGCTTTGTGATGAGGGACAAACAAGGCTAGGACTCTTCAGTTTGGAGCAGAGATGGATGAGAAGGATGTGATCAAAGTTTACAGAATCATGAAAGTAGTAAACTAGATGCATTCATGATGGTTTGTCATCAAAATGCACAATATTAGAAGGACAAATCATACAGAGAAGATCTTTGCCTGGAGGTCACTTTAAAGCAGATACAAGAAAGTACTATACAGACTGAGCAGTGAAATTCTGGAAACTGCTGTCACAGAAAACTGTAGAGGCAGTGGTAGAAGGTTCAAAAAGGGATTAGGAATCAGCTGTTTATAAACAGACACTTAAGGGAACAGGCACAGATATGTCAACTGAAACTCCTAATCTAATGACAGTGGAAGCTAAACAAGTGCGAGGGAAGTAGACAGTGGCCAGGTTTCCATGCCATCCCTAAATAGCATCTGCTATTGCCACTCCCAGAGACAGAGCACTAGGCTAGATGGAACATTTGCCTGATTCACTTACTGCACTCAATCTATTCCTGTTCCAAGATATAGCACAATTGACTGGGAGTTAGGTGCTTTTGGTCATGGAAGGAAATACCCACCGAAAAAAGAAAACAATTGGTGTCCAAATTTGACTTGCATATACTGCAGAACAACCCTCCCTTCACTGTTTCAGTTTCTTCCTCCCTGACAGATTTAAGCCTGATTTTTGTTAAAGTTGCCCCAGCTACACACAGCAAAGTTCTTTGTTTAAGTAACTGTGGAGTCACACACCATGTCACTACTAATGTAGCATGGTGAATGGGTTTTAGCTAGTCCAAGAAGGAGCTGCAGGAAGCTGCTCTGCAGCCCTTAGTCTGCAAAACCCTGGATCCTACAATGATGTCAGCAGCCCTTCTTGGCAGCTTGCTGTCTTTATCATGATACTCTGTTTCAGATTCATGAGCTAGAAAATGAGCTTGACATTGAGCAGAAACGAGGAATAGAGTCAGTGAAAGTTGCTCGCAAGTATGAACGAAGACTGAAGGAGCTCACTTACCAGGTATTTCAAATCCTCTGCTCTATTCTGTATCTTTCTTGTATTCTAAGTGCATCACATTGGTCCATCTTTCCAGGATGACTTTATTTTCACTTCTCACAGTCTGAAGAGGATAAGAAAAATATTTCCCAGCTTCAGGAACTGGTGGACAAGCTGCAGTTAAAAGTGAAAGTATACAAGAAACAGGCTGAGGAAGCTGTGAGTGCAGGACTCTTTAAATCTTTGTGGGTCCTGGGTGGATATTTCTGAAAAGTCTGGTCTCCCAGGTTCATTAAAATAAGTGAATACTCAGTTTGATGGGACAGTGGTGGCCATTATCTTTGAATATTCCCTATATTTTAAAGAGTTTTGGCTTACAACAGAGCAGGCACAGTTGTAATTATCGTGGAGTTGTTACACTTTTGGAGTCACACCAGCCAGTTTTCCCAGTACTCATGTTCCTGTAAGTAGTACAAATGCACTGAGTTCTGGCACTGCAAGGATAGAGCTGTGAGGCTAACTGTACTAGGTTACATTACTATGGAGCAGGTGCAGGGTGTTAAGTGGAACAGGGTGATGACAGATTGTGTGCATGTCACTGATGGCACCATGATTTCAGGAAGCACAGGCAAACACTAATCTCTGTCGATGCCACAAGACCCAGCACAAGTTGGAAGAGGCTGAAGAACGAGCTGATATTGCTGAAATTCTAGTTAACAAACTGCGAGCCAAAAGCCGTGATATTGGAAGACAGGTGAGTTCAAGGGCTGCAGAGAAGGACCCTTCTTATTCAACAAGTGCCACAAAGATCTCTGCTCAAACACCTGGCAGCGGTCTTTTCCCACTTTTGCACTGGATTGTCATCATGAAGGAAGGACAGAGTTGGCACTTATTCAAAATCAGTGTTTTTTGAAAATCCTGTTGGTGCCTCCCAAGATACATGTATATACCACATATAATCTACTGTAAGAATCCAGGTCTTTCAGCAGAATTGGGAGATAATACTTCTTTGCCAGTAATATGGCATAACATGTGCAATAGCCACAGACCTGTAACAACCCCACATATAATTCAATTACCCCTGATAACCTGCGTATTTATTTATTTATTTAACATTTAGAAATCAGAAGAATGAGGTCCATGACCAGAGCTGCTGCAGGCTCCCTGACACTAGAGACTTCTATGCATACAACAAATATTCATTACCTGCTTCTAATCAGTAGGTATGCATGTAACCGCTGTTTGGCCTCTACATTCTTAGTCAACCCTAAGTAGATGTGAGAAATAAAAACAAACCTGCATGGCACACTGGTGACTGTAAGGGCTATCTCATTTGTAATGAGATTGAGTGTAAATGCTTACAGCAAGTAGGGCAGCAGTTACCCAAGTATGGATTACATCCAATGCAGGGAAAAGAATTCCAAAGGTAATGGGCACAGACACGTCATTTGTCCTCCATGTTTTCAACTTACATGTTTAGATAACAATTAAACAGGAGAACAGAAGAAAAAAGAACGGGGGGGGGGGGGGGGGGGGGGGGGGGGGAGGGAGGGAGGAGGGAGGGAAGTCAGCAAACATCTCTCCATAAGCTTAGAAAAATATCAGCATGTTATCAATCTGAATTTAGTAATGTTTAAAGGGCAAGTAAACAGAATCACAGAATTTCTACTAGTTCCAAAACACAGTTTATATACCTTTTGATGGCAGGACCCTCCCCTGTTTCCCCACTGAGTGGGTAATCCAGGTTCACAATCTATTTGATGCTTCACAAACAATGCATGGCCATCAGTTGCCGGCCTGCTAAATTTCAAATTTCTTTTGACATTTTTACTGCTTGAAGTGGTAATGTTTCTTCACTTATCTGACTTATCACACCGTGATTTTCACCTAATTGTCCTAAGGAGTCTGGTTGTCTGCATTTTACTAGGTCACCTGCTAAACTTTCTTATCACTGTAAGCATATCTCAGTACCACATTCCCTCCTTCTAAACAATGTAACTCTGCAAAAACAACATTTCTATTCCCACACAGGTCACACTGGTTCTGATACAAGCCAGGATGCCGTTGGCCTTCTTGGCCACCTGAGCACACTGCTGGCTCATATTCAGCCAACTATCCAACATCACTCTGTGATGGGTGCTGGGTGCTCAGGGAGTCTACACTCTACCAACATGCATACACTAACATCGAACTTTCTAAATATATATAAATCTAAATATATATATCATTGCTTTTACATATTAAACCCAAGTTCTGATTGTACATATGTACAATCAGAAAAGGTATCAATTGAAATATAAACATGGCAAAGTTTTAAAAGGCAAGTGTTTAACAAACAATCCTTTAATTCTATTACTATTAATGTCTATGACTGGGGGAGCATAGTTGGAGTTGGAATTCCTGGTTGAAGTGCTCCCATATCTTCCATGATTTCATTAATTTCTCTCAGATCATATAGCAGTCTCCATTTTCCATTCCTTTTCTTGATTACAAACACTGGAGAATTCCAGGGCTAGTCATGGGAACAATATGTCACACTTTAAGTTGTTAAGCAACTCGGCCTTCAAGTCTTATGTATCCTATTCTTTCCGGATTGAAGGGAAACATATCCATCTCCTTTTCAAGGCCTGGGTAAAAAGGCATATCCAGGTCACCAGGGGGCATAACAGCAAAGGCCTGTGATGGCAGTACTGGCGGGGGGGGGTGTGGGGGGGGGGTGTGTGGGGGGGTGGGGGGGGGCGATGGTGTAGAAGGATGGGTGGATGAGCCCACAGCTCCCTCGCTATCTGGCAAACCCCACGTTTCTGACTGTGGTCCTACATGGCTCTTTAAGGCCTCAGAGACTGCTCACCAGGTGCCAAGCAATCCCACTGCAACCTTGTCATTTTTAGTAGCAGAGTCCCACACCTTGACCTCAATTTGGTCCCATGTTTAACGATCATAAACTGTCGGATTGTTAATAAATGGAATAAGCTGTAAGGTTACCAGGACAGTCTTTGTTTCTAAGGACATATGATTCTCCATAATGCATAACTGCTTACCAATAAGGGGCAGTTGTGTGCGCAGGTTCGCTTCTCTCAGTTTGAGCTTCTTTCCAGCTCCGGTGCGCCTATTTCCAGTGACTTTCTATACAAGCTTCTTTGAGCGGTTTGCTGAGTTTGGCTGAACTTATCTTAATTAGGTGATCAGTTCCTGTCCTGGTCCCTGTCCTGTTAGCCTGTCCCTATCCTGACATGCGGAAAACTCCACAACCATAGGGTTGTAAAGTAGGTATACTTTATTGTGGTGCACCGGGCACACTGGGAATAGCTTCCCTCAAAAAGGTGCACGCCTGCCTGGTCGTCTCTCACAACTTTATACATGAATACTGTTACATATTACATGAGCTGTAATGCATATTCATTATTTCCCCCGAAAAGGCAGACCTCTTCCAAGTACTCATTTCTATACTCCCCGCCCTTAGCTCCTCCTGGTTGCGCCTGCGCAATGTAGCCTGGTGGTTGTGGGCAGGAGTCTTTCAGGATGAAGGCAACGAGGAAGAGGAGGTTAAACTTTTTACCTTTCTGGACGTTGACCTTCTGTTGGACAGTATTTAGAAGTTTTTTGTTTATCTTTGCCTTGTTTCCTGCCAACAAGTTGTTCATTCTTCCCTAATGAGTTGTTCGTCCTTCCCTAATCCGTTGGTCTTGAACGATATCTTCCTTTTTACATATGCTTCTCACAAGGTTCTCATCTACATCCCAGATAATTAGGATATTTTACCATATATGTAGGTAAATATTAATTCAGATAAGTTTTAGCATCTTCCCCATCTCAATTCGTTCCTTTTTTTCTATTTCTTTATTGATGACATAACTTCATTATATCGTGTTGCCTTTTCATCTTGAGGACAGGCTCTCCTCTTTTACCTTTTGCCCCGCAGCACTCCTTTTCAAAGCAACTTCTCATTGGTCAAACAACTTTGCCCGGCAACTAGCAAACACCCAGCAACTTCCATGCCTTAACAGCTGGAGAATAGCAACCTGAGACTGCATGGAGTCTCCTGAATCACCCTTCTTTGTTCCCTCTGAACTCTACATTCCTGATGGCCTCATCGTTAAGAGTCTGATGTTATCATCAACCGTGGGGCTTGTCGACCCCCATGGCCACACTCCCACATCTCCCCCTTCTTTAATAATATCAACCATCTTCTTGGCACAAATTATAGCTCCATATATCACTAGCACTTATGAACTGCTCCATTCTTCTGTCTGCCTTAGCAGTCCCTGACACAGTCCTGTAGGAAAGGGTAGAGCCTCTGCTCCATTACAGTGCATGTGTGAGGATCTGCGGTGTCTAAGGGATGTGTGGCGATTTGCTGCATATGCTGTTTCCTGTGGTGTAGAGACCTGCTTGTGGAAGAAAGGGAAAATAAGGCGGCCTGCTCCATGCTGCCTGCGTGGGGCAGGAAGGCCGTGCTGTGAGCGTCCAAGGAGGGAGGGAGGGGGGGATACGCCGCACGGAGCGCCGTGGGGGCAGGAAGCCGCATGGCTGGCGCAGCTTCCACGAGAACCCCGCCGAGCCCACCCACCCAGACCGCGGAGCGGGGTAGCCCGGCGCCAGCGCTCTCCCGCAGCGCTGGGAAGCCCCGGCGCGCCGTGGGGCCGCAGCAGGGGCTCCCGGGAGGCCAGGGTCGGGGGGGCCGTGCCGCCGCCCGGTCGCGGAAACCCAGCCTGCGGGGGCCGGCGGCGCCTGCAGAGGGCGCTTCCTCGCCGCGCCGGGGCCGGTGGCGGGTGGGGGCCGTCCCACCCTGTTCACTGCTGTGTCGGAACCGCCGGGCGACTGCCCGGGCCGGGACGGAGGCCTTGCGGCAGGGAACGTTCCTTCTCTTTCCGCCCTTAGGGAGAGAAGTGCTTTCACCGTACGCAGTGTCGCAGCTTCTCAGCCCTGGTTTCTCTTCCAAAGACGAGCAAGCTCGTGTGTCACGAGGTGCAGGCCCAGAGCCTGAGGGGCGTCACCCAGTGAACTCTAGTCTCCACGGTTTGGAAACATCAGCCAGAAACCTCTTCCGAGGGTGGTGCTGGAGCAGGGCCACATCTGAGTTCTCAGCCTGACCTAGGAGCCTTCCGAGGTAGCCCCATCCCTTGCCACGGTCTCGGTTTCCCTCCACCAATTTCATGCTTCTGTAACATGGTGGGATTGTACTCTCACCTCAAAGTGCCACTCTGATACACTGTGTTTCGGCACCCTCTGTGGTGAGTACGGTCCACACATTGAAAAAAGAAAGGGCCGTTCCAGGCCTCCATTGCCCAGGTCTTTATCAAGCTGCTTGTCATTTTCTAAGGATCAGACCTAAGTGAAAAATAAAAATTAAAATTAAAAAAAAAAAGATCATTTAAAAGAATTATATAATTTCTCAAAAGCAAAGATAAGGAGCCAATTAATTGGCTGTAGCTTCAAATTTTTCATTTTAAAACGTCTCTGTGTTTCATGTCAATAGGAGCCATGTGGGGTAATCATGTTCAGCCAGGTGGTTCTGAGTGTCAGAAGCTCTGATCATTATTTTGTTTAATTTTTGTATTTGGACACAGGTGCCATCAACGTACATCAGCTGGTCACACCTGTCAGGTTTCCTGCCTCCCCTCATTTACATTCAGTACTTAGTGGTGCACTATTCTTATCTCCTTTATCTCATTCCTTGTTCCTTCCATCTCATTCCTTTCTCATTTGGAGAATTCAAAAATTGTTTTGGGAAACAATTGTGGCAGTTGTTCTTGTATGTTGTGTTCAGTTTGGGCTTCTGTCATCCTTCCGTGTTTTGTACCCTGTCATCACTGCTGGCTGTAACCCATTTGCCTCCTGACTGGTCATCATCCTACTTGTATTCAGGGTTCTTTGTGCCAGTCATAGCTCTCTGGTGTTTTGTCTACTAATGCCCCATCACATGATGGTCTGTGATCACTGCCTGCCAAGCTGGTCAAAATCATCTTATTGTTTCTCTTCTTTTGCTCCATGGCTACCTGCTGTGATTGGCTCTAGCTTGTACGTTCCTCAGCATGGCATTTTCAATTGTTAGAGATACATATGGTTAGCAACGTCACAAACACAGAAGTCTGACTTGAATTGTCATTGTGTCCAACCCCCTCTAAACTGGCAAGTCCTGCCCACACTCACATGACATGATACGGTTTTCATTGGACAGCTGTGCACATTAGGACCACAGTGGTCTGCCTCAGCCAACAAACCATGCTGCGGTAAGCACAATGCTAGCACATAAAGTAGATTAGCAGGGTTTATCCTTTTGTTAAGTACAAACCAGTTCTTATAATTTTATTTGTATATAAAGGAAGAAATATGCAAAGAGGAGAAATAACATCTGCATTGAAGTTTTGTTCTGCAGGAGTGTTTTTTAACACCATTTTTCTTTAACATGATGAAAGCTAAAAGCACATTTATAAAGCTGAAAGCAAAGCCTTCGTCTGAAAATTTCTTTGAACTCCCAGAAGTTTCTAGATGTGCATGATAGCTGTCATAAGGTGAGATGTCATGTAGAACCCTCTGTGTCCTTTGCTTTGTCGCAGTATACCAGGAAAGGAGAGTTAATGGAATGAGCAGACACATGTATTACCGATGAGCCAGCACTGGCTTATTCTGGGCATGCCAGTCAGCAGTAAGAAGGATCATTCTGTGTGATCAGCTGTTTCTCTGCAGCTGTATTTCAGTAAATCAGCCTGTTAGGTGTTCAGGTCATATGTTAGCATCAGCAGTTAAAAGAGCTTCAGTGGCTTCCTTTCATGACCTCTGATCATGTCACCATGCTCATTTAAGACAGTTTTGGGAGAGACATAGAAGGGACAAGGTAAATGTAAAAGACTTAGTCCAACTCTATACTACTCATCACCACTGTACAGAGGCAGAGTGCACTGTCCAAGCTGATGGTGGGCACAGTGCTCAGGCCAAAGGCTTGAACTGCTCTTAAGTTGAGGGAAAAATAAATAAATAAACAAACAAATAAATAAATAAATAACAGGCCACACCTTTAAATTAGCTATAAATGTCAAAATAAAAATTCGTGTTACCTGTTCTTCAGAAATTGCGCACTGTTCAACCAAGTATTTTCACACAGAGGTGAAATGTGAGAAGACAGGACAGTGGCACTGAGCCTCCATAGACTGGGAAGAATGTGAACACAGGTCTGTGCCTAGCAATTCCAGGAAGCAGCTCTAAGCTCTGACCAGCTTTGGAGTGTTTTGTATTTCTTTATTTCTGTATCCCTGTACTTAGCTTTTGCTTCTGAATGTATAAGAACTGCAGGTGTATTAGCATTAGCATTCTGAACAGAAGCAGACAGTTTCTAGAAAACAGGACAGGGAGTAAAGTGGACAAAACCAACCAAACAGAAAGCTGGAAGAAAACTGAAACAGGACAGCTGCTAGGGTTTCTAAATAAATTTTGTTTATTTCTTTAAGACCAAGAAACATACTACTGTTCATTTAGTTGACCTATGAGTATTTTAAGTTATACCGGGGAAATAAAAAGGACATACTCTTTATTTTATGACAGTAACAAATAAGCTTAATAGGAGAGCTGGAGCTTTGTCATACCTCAAGGTGTACTAAGAATGTACTGGAATGTTAGTATACGTCACGGTGTATTAAGAACTCCTAGTAGTTTGCCTATCTGTGAAGTCAGAAGGAGGATTAAAATGCTGATTTAAAAGCATACCATGCACACACAAAGTTTATCCTTTCTAGGCATGGTGCCTGCTGCTCCTTTGAGGTCCTGGGGGAACAGATGGAAGTGGGATTCATTCCAGGGGCCTGCAAGATTCACTTTCAAGCCTGCAGGGCCTTTTGTGAGAAAAAGGGTAAATTGTGCTGAGAGTTACAGGCCATTTGCGTATGTCTGTGACCAACATTGGACCTTGTGCGGCTCTAAAAATATTTTGTAGAAAATTAGGATTTCTCAGGGATGAAACCTTGCTCCTGTATGTCACCATTGCCCATCACATATATTACCAGACAAAGCACAAGAAGACTGAGGTACCTTTTCAACTGGTAAATTTTGGTCTAATTGACCTCATATGTTTGTTCTAATTCTATGAAATAATAAATCCTTTTATATTTTCTACCTGGGATAGAACAACTCCCTGCATCAGTGCAGACTAGGAATTGACTGGTTAGGGTGCAGCTCTGCAGAAAAGACTTAGGGATCCCCATGGAAAACAAGCTAAACATAGGTCAGCAATGCACTCCTGTAGTGATAATACTAATCAGTCATTGGATTGCATTGCATTAGTAAGTAGCTAGTAATGGACCCAGCAGGTAGGGGGATGTAATTATTCACTTTATTTGACACTGATGAGACTGCTTCTGTAATACTTTGTACAGTTCTCTGCCATGCCCCACACACCCTGCGCCCCGATTATATTAGAGGTGTCGACATACTGGAGAGAATCCAGCAAAAGCCCCTAGTATTACTGGTCAGCTGTAACATGCCATATGACGATGCAAAGAGAATTAGATTTGTTTGGCCTGGAGAAGAGGAGGCTTAGGGACTATGTAACTAAAACTAACACAGCTGAAAAGGGGGTATGCAAATTAGATGCATTCAGGCTTTTCCTGCAAGTGCAAAGTGGAAGGCCAAAAGGCAATGGTCTCATGTTGCAAACCAGAAAGATGTTTTTTGACAAATACATTGTTTGCCATGAGAGTGGTGATGCCCTGTGACATGCTGACCAGAGACTCTGCAGAGAATCTGTGTCCTTAGGGATTTACAGAATTCCCATGAGCAAGGCCTTGAGCAACTTTATCTAGCTTTTAAGTTAGGTCTGCTTGGAGTAGAAAATTGTAGTGAAGACCTCCAATAGCCCTTCCAAGCCACATTTTTCAGTGATTCAGTGAACCCACCTAGCAGTGGCTTTCTTCTGGTTGAAGACTGATCAGTTCAGTGAAAAGGCTGGAGAACACAAAACTAATACCAGCCACAGGAGAGTCAGAAGGATGCAGCTAACAGGAAGGGTGGTGGCTGAGGAAGGATGGCATGGATGGTCTCTCAGACACCATCCAAGTGAGCTACCCAA